ACCAAGACCAGTCTGCAGCCCCCCTCGCTCAGGCTGCTGAACAAGTGGGAATGACCGTTGAGTATTAGTGGTTATTTCTTAGATTCTTAAAGAGAAAATGGAAATAAACCATTTCTAAGAGTTGTGTCCATTAAAAAAATTCTTGGGTCTTGGAGCTGAGTGGCATAGTTTGGGAGTGGTCCCTCAGGGAATGCTGGGGGCTGATGGCCTCTCCTCCATCTGGCCTGATTGTACAGCAAGATGGTGGTGGGGAGCAGATTTCAAACACCTGTGCATCTCAAGATATCTGTTCTCTGGATCAAACAAAACAGGATATCAATAACTTATTTGATACGAGCCTGTTGAGTCTCCTGCAAGGACAGCTACCACCAGCAGACACATGCCTGCTACAGGGGGCACCCTAGGAGTCACAGTTGGGTAGAAACATATGGATAACTGAAAATTTTTATTCAGTTTTTCTGTTTTATAGATTTTCTTTAATGAGGACATGCTCTTAAGAAATTAATATGTAAATCCATACAGTGGAATAGTAGTCTGCCATAAAAAAAGAATGAAGTACTGATATCTGCTGCAATATGGCTGAATCTTGAAAACATGCTGAATGAAAGAAGCCAGTCACAAAGGACTACATACTGTAAAGTTCCATTTATGAAAAATACAGAGCAGGCAAATCCATAGGGGCAGAAATTAGATTATTGGTTGCCTGTGGCTGAGGAAGAGAGAATGGGAAGTGACTGCTAATGGGAACGAGTTTCTTTTTGGAGAGATGAAAATGTCCTGGAATTAGAGAGTGGTGATGGTCATACAACTCTGTGAAGATTCTAAAAACCATTGAATTCTACACTTTAAAAGAGTGAATTTTATGGTATGTGAGATATGCCGTGGCTTCCATTGGGTGGAGAGCCCCATTGGGTGGGGTCAGAGCAGAGGGGCCCAGCATTTGCCTTCCTAGCTGCACATACCTCACTGTGAGCTTCAGAGGCTCACATAACCCCCACCCCACACGCTTGCCCCCTGCCCCCTCCTTCGGGTCCCTGAGAGGCCAACCCTGCCTCCATCCCTGTCCTCCCAGGACACTCCTACCACCTCCCACTCTGCTCTTCCAGGTCTGCCCTCCCATTCCATGGGACCTGAGCTCCCAGAGGACCTGGGCTCCCTGTTGTCTTGCTGCTACTGGAGTGGGCTCCACATAGTGGTCTAGTGAGCCAGTGGTCCCCTGTGGTAAGGAGTCCTCCCTGTACTGTGGCTTGTGGGAGGGCTTAAGAAGTGGCCCAGCTGTGCTGGGTCTGACCACTTAGACTGCCTTGGGTTGCCTGAGTCCACTCAGAGGCAGAAACTGGTGACTGGGCTTCCTTGGGCAAGGCCAGACCCTCCACTTCCTGCTGGTGAGCCTGCTGAAGCCTGATGAACAGAAGCAGAATGTGAGCCCTTACCCCTACCTCCCTGCCTCCATGACTGAGCTTTTATTGAACACTGACAGCGCCCAACACTGTTGGTCATGACTATTATGTCCATCTTATAGATGAGCAAAATGATGACATGGTTCTGTCACCTGCTGGGTTCTGACCCCAGAAGTGCATCTGCATGAATGTGCCTGAAGATGCCTGTTGGCTTGACCAGGCTGGGGCACCAGGGAAGGCTGGACTTGGGGTGATTTGGGGCTCCCTTGGCACTGGAGTCTTAGGTAGCTGAGATGACAACTGTGGTGAGTGGGAGTGGGAGGGGCACTGTGGCTGGTTTTGTGGCCTTGAGCAAGCTACTTAAAGTCTAAAAGTCTCTGGGCCTGGCCTCAAGATACTCATCTGTGACATGGAGATAATCAACCCACTTGGCCTGACAGCTGTTGAGATGGCTGTTCAGGCAACAAAGAGAGGTACGGTCATCATCAGCCTGAAGCACAATTTTCAGAGTGTCTTCTACAGGCCTGACTCATACCAGCCTTCAGACAACCAGTAAAACAGATAGGCTTCTCCCTGTCAGAGCCAGGGAAATGGAGGCTCAGAGATATCAAATGACTTGGCTAAGGACACAAAGTGATCCTGGCAAAGTTCTGTTCCCAAGGTCTGTTCATGGATGCCTCAGGCTTCCCCTTCCCAGATCTCAGGACCTGCTCCAGGGCCTAGCCTAAGTTTCCTTTCAAAGGAGACTGTGACTTCATTAGCTGCTTAGATGTGGACTCCAATGGTCGTGGGTCAGCAGAGGAGGTAAGCTTCCTATCACAGGAGACGTGTAAGCAGTGTGCCTGAAATTACCCCTAGGGCCTCAGAGTGAACATAGCACTCAGGGCAGGTTCTCCCTGCTCCCCCAGTACCTGGGCTGCCCCTGTGATGTATGGGGATACTATTGCCATACTATGCACATCTGTGAGCTGAGGGGGAGCAGCAGCCCACAGGCAATAATGCGAATTGCCAGTTGTCTTTTCCATCACTAGGTAGGCACAGTATCTGCATGCCACCCAGTATGCCCCTTTGGGAGCAAGGAGGAGGCCAGACTGGTGTGCATCTATCTGGAATATGCATAGCTCTGTCTCTTCTCAGTTTTCCCTTGGACAGGTCTGGGCACACCTGTCACAGGCTTAAGACTCAGGGGGACCTGGAGGACTAAGTCTTGGAGAAACTTGCAGCCTTAAAAGGAAGACAAACTAGGATGGTCAGGATGATTCTTCAGAGGGGATACTGAGGCTTAGTGAGAGTGAGACATGCAGATGGCAGCGCAAGGTTGGGGTCTCTATTCTCCACAGGGAAGACAGAAAGATCTCCTCTTACCCTACCTCTGCCTGGAAGGCCCCCACTCTGGGGAGTCCTGCTCAGATCCCCACCTCAGAGGGTCTCCTCAGCTTGGCAGAGCTGGTTTCTACTATTGTCCCTTCCTTGTCTGGACTCTGGGCAGGATGCCTGTTTCACAAGTAGACATGAGGACTGGAGTCTGTATATAGCAGGCATGTATCAAATGTCCAGTGCCATTACACTGTGGAACCATGACTCTCTGGGAGGAGAAGTCCAAGTTTGTAGTGTCTGCCCATTTCCATGGTGTAAATTCTCCCAGCATCACCAAGCATCACTGAACAGAGTTGGGAAGAGATGTTGGCTCCCAATTGTTTCTGCTGGCTCCAGTACTCACTGCCAGTACCCTGCAAGGCCTCAGGAAGTCCTGTTGCTCCTGTAAGTCAGCTTGACACCTCCACTCCCCTCCAACTGTGATGGTCTGATGTCGCTTGAGTTACTCTATGAAAGAGGCTCCAGATCCAGCAGCCCACAGGCATACCACATGTCTGAGTGTGTTTGACAGTGTGCCAGCCTAGGGGCCAGGGACCAATGTGAGAACAGCCTGACATCTCCCCTGGGCCAGCTGCCTCCTCTTGCCTCTGTTTCCTCTTCTGGAGTGGGCCAATGACTACACATCACAGGCTTACAGAGGACAGGGTAAGAGGTGTGAGTTCAGGGCCTTGCATAAAGTAGGACTTGGAAACTAGGAATGTAGTCTTTGGCATAAGACACCTCTCTGCAACAAGGTTCAAGATGCCCAAGAGAAGAGCCCATCTGTGAGAAGTGGGGGAGGTAGCATTTAACAGAGGTGGGTGAGGAAGAATACTGTGGGCCAAGGGGTCTCTGGAAGCTTCTCCACATCCCTATCCATTGATATCCAAGTTCAGCCTGTCTTAGGAGCTCTGGGATTTAGGGTGGATAAGTTCTGCCTTTGGGTGCCTGGTATGCTCAACTGCAAAATGGGGATGATTACAGTATTGGCCCTCCTGGTGAAGTGATGAGGTTCTGATGGATCCCGGTGAAGAGAGAGAAGGGCACTCCATCCCTCAACCAAGTTTTGCCCCTGTTGGGATGGGGGTGGGGCTCAGACGTCTTCCTGAGGTCTTCTTGAAAGGGGATGGGGGAATCACTGGCTCTGGGTCTTCGTTTTCTAGCTTGATTATTCTGCCCTGGCACAGGGCACCGAGGTCTGGCATACCCGCTGAACCAGGTGAGGTGGTGAGCCTGTGAGTCTTCTCCGAGACACATGGGGCCCTCCGTGGCCAGCAGCTACGCGGGGCAGTCCAAAAAGCTTTGGGGGCCACGAGTGCCTCCTGGAGCGGTAGCATGAGGAACGCTGCAGATCTGCGTAGCTGCGGAGCCAGGACAGGAGCCTACGCGGGGACTGGGAGCCGGCTAGCAGGTGGCCGTGAGCGCCGGAGGCCAGGTGGGCGTGCCAGGCTCCGCCTCACCGCGCGGACCATGGGCGGGCAACGGACGCCCCGCCCTCCTAACACGCCGGGTCTGAGCGGGTGCGGAGCGCAGCAGCGCGGAGACTGAGCAGCCTGCGGGAGCGCGGCCCGCACTCCGCGGCTCCAGGGAACAGCGCCGCGACCCGATCCCGACGCGGAGCGCGGCCTCGCCCGTCTCGCTCGCCGCGGCCGCGGGGCCGTAAGCATGGACGGCG